ATTATGGGTTATTAATAATAATTAATATACTGATTAAATAGTGCATGAACACGAACAGTAAATATAATATCATTGCGATTAGAGAAATCGATTTATTAAAATATTGCATAAATACCCGTATTATTAAAATATTATAATTTATTTTAATATTCACATTATATTATACTTGAGTTTGAATTGAAAATATAATTAACATTGACGAAAATGCTATAGTGTCATCACCGTGGCGTTTGACTGTTTGATGTTATAAAATCAATTTTCATCATATTATTATTATAATAATGGCCCAAATGTATATTATAATATTATATAAATATTATCGTCGATACTAAAGTAAAAAGTTTAAAAAAAAAACCCGTGGCGAATTTGAAGCATATGCAGTAACGACACACATAATGATCGCCGCACTATGTATAGTAATATAATAAACTAGTGCAGCCAATTTATAAAATAGCGTCGTAAATAAATTATAACTGTTTGGACGTTTCCGTGAGTAAGTGATGAACAGGAAACATTATTTTCAAAGAGTCGAATACGAAGGGTGGCTCTTAAAATACGTGCTCGGAATACCACGTATAGGTGCACCTTAATTTTTGATAAGAAATCTAAGACCAGCAGCAAAATGCAGCGGTTTTTATAAACAACATTTTTACGTGGAATCGTTCGTACCCAACCTTATCGTTTCGATAAAATATAGTATGGTAGTCGCCTACACGGATATGTTATACCCGTTAAAAAAGAAAAACATGAAAATAAATAAAGAAAAGTGCCGTGCAGCGTTCCTCTCTATGCGCGCGCGACCGTTGTAAATCACATACAGACCTATACAATATTACACGTACATGTGTAATAGGTATTTTTGTTTTTACGAATCGTATAATTTTACGACTTTTTCCTCTTCCTCTCGCTACAGCGTGACGTGATTTGGAGGGTAGTTAGGGGTGCCTGGTGTGCCTGGTGTGTATGTGTACATAGTATAATATATATATATGTATAATCGGACCTCCAAACAAGAGTAGGTTTGTGACATGCAACGGGAAAACGACACGCAAGGCATAGTCTATAAAGTATATAGAACTATATTTCCCTATCCATGGTATATTATTATTATTACTATTAGTATTATTATTATACACGATATGATATGGCTCTAAAGCTGTATAGTGTGTGTGTGTGTGTGTGGAGATATATTTTTTCGCCCTCCAACCGTACTGTACGATTCACAATCCATTAATTTTGCCATGCATAATCACCTAGAGCCATACAACATAACGTATATTTTTATAGGTGAGTTATGCTCTTATACCAATAACGTAAATGTTAACAGTTTGAGCGTATCTATCCTATATTATTATGTAGGCATCGTATGTATGAACATGTGCACCTATATATTATTAGTTTCTTGTCGATAATTGTGCCTACACGAGTGTAATAGAGTTATTGAAATTTAGATAGAAAGTTCCCCAATGCACATAATATTATTGTCGTTACTATATTATTTTATACTGACTATATAATACTAAGTATAGACACGTAAACACATATTGTTAATCAGTTAAATCAACATTTACCTACGACAGATTAAGAATATATACAAAACAAATACCATTATTATATGATGTAGGTACAAAGCAAACACGAAATAAGGGTTTAGTTCAATTTCACCACAAATCTATGGCTAAACGTTAAAAAAAACCAACAGAATACCTAGTAGTTGTACACTGTAAATTCCATGACCTAGTCGCTTTCGGCAGTCTTTAGGAAGGATCGATTGGGTGACATTAAAATTATGGGTCCCAGAAGTGCTATATTTCATAGTAGAAACGCTATTATATAAAGTACCTTCTACAACGAAGCCGTCAAAAAAATTGTTGTAAAACTGTAAAGAACGTTTAGTAACAGTTTGAATAAAGGAGAAAACTTGGTAAAAAATTATCCATTCTATTGCGTTTTAATTTTTAAGTAATACTCAAGACATCGAAGATGGTAATTTATTATTCAATCAATTGCTATGCTTTTAACGAATGTCTGACAGCTTTTATTTAGATATACCATCACTTTAATATCATTATGTTTATCATATAAATCAATCATTAGCCACCAATTCAATTATTTACAAATGTTAACAATACTTCTGCGAAAATTATATTTCCGTACAAATTAATTTAATCATAATATCATCCATATAATTTGATGTACCTACGTGATATTTACATCAAAACTCGAGAAAAAAATATACAACTTCGCCGCAACGCTGTAATTAATAATTATTCGTTGAATTCAAAGGATTTAAAAAGTTTATGCCAAGACGGGGTAATTAAAAAACAATAGAAATCATAATAGGTTTCACCCTTGAAAAAATGTTCAGCGAACTCCGAAGAAACGTGAAGTCTAATTTATTCGGTCTTATGATAAAGGACCAGCGGTGAAGGACAATAGCGAATAACTAGCGGTGGAAACGAATATTTGTTTTTCCCCTTAAAATTACCAACACAAAGAGGATCATTATACGTTCGGGACCTTACAAGATTTCGAAGCATTTTCACTCAGAGCCACGTAGATAGCCGAGTGGCATTCCTTCGAACATTGCAGACAAAACACTTCATCGCAGTGCAGTCTGCAAGATGTCTACCTTACGCGTTTGATGACGTTCTCGATGCCCAAAACTTTTCAAACTGCGTAATTATTCAAACAACAAGATTTTCGACTTGGACTGTAGTTTTGCTTCAATCAAATTATATGGATAGTAGCCCTTCTATATATGTATATTGTATATATATATAACAATAGTTGTTAATAATATAAAAGTCGGGAAACTATAACAGAAATACTTATATTGGCCTAACTCACTAAGATAATTACTGTTGAATTGGAGTAAGCCGAGTACGTCAAATACTTACTTAGCTAAATTTATATTTTAGTTAAACTTGTCGTTTTGTTAATTATTATTATTTTACAGAAACAATTTCAATCAATATAATTTGATCTTTAGAAAAACAAATATTATACCAAACAAATAATAGGCACCTAATAATAATTCCATATTGAAAAATGTTCTTTTAACATATGTCAACAATAAAATCCTCGATTAAATATTATCTAACAAGAAAATCGTGGTTCTAGTGAGAAATAATAAATTCCTATCTAAATATCATTAAATATTGTTTAGTTATAACTAATCACTTACCTATGTACTAATGATTTAATGATAATTTAAATTAACTATAAAAGAAGGTATATTAACTACATAGAATTGAAATTTGAAACTATGAACAAGGTGATCCATTTAAGTGTCTATACATTCAATATTTTGAAAAGTTTTAACTTTATTTAAAGTTTATTTTTGCATAGTATAATTTGATGTAATAAAAGTAATATTTTTACACTTTTATAATATCATTATAATTTTTAAGTTTTAGTTTTTTGAATGACGACATACTTTTCATAGCAGAATACTTTTTGGAGTATTTCTTTATATTGGGTTCTGATCGAGTAGTTAATTAGTTATATAAAGGAAATAAAGCAGAGTGACACAGGAGTAGGGTACCTACCTCACAAAATGTTGGTCCATTACTATGATCATCAATAGTAAAATACTCTGAATATTTATAATTTATAACTACTCGTTTGAAATTCAATTTATATGCATACGATTACCCCAAAAATATTTCTTCACAAAATCACCGTCAAACACGTACATACTTACTGAATTTCGAATATATTATACCGAAATTCTATACAATCATTCTCAGTAACCCCCAATCATCTGCAATTTCGTCACTGCCGTCAAACTCCAATTTGGATCTAAATAATATTTATGTAAAGTATAATATATTATGTCCATAATGTATAGTTAAAATGTTAAATGTGAATTCTTAAGTATATAAAAATTCTTTGAAGTTTTGTACACTCGTTCTTACCAGTTTTGCCCATGTTGTCGAGGGCCTTTCAAATACAAAATGTTATATTACCATTCAAAAAATAATAAACTTCATACATTTTAATTAGTGTAAACATTTAAATCGATCAGCTTGTATATTTGGACATTATTTAAGGTATCTGTGATGTTAAAATATTCTTAATTCAATATTAAATCCGAAAATGTATATTATATTTAAACATATGTAAAAAATATACCAAGACGTACTTGATCCGACTTGCGGTTGCCAATCAAGGTCGAATTATTTCACAAAGCTAGATATGCTGCAATTTAAACAACCAAAATAGGCTACAACTGTGATACACCTGTCACCTATGTCCTAAATAGTGTATAGGCCATAATATATAGGATTTTCCACAAAAAAAAACTTGCACGCTGGCTATACACAATAGAAAATCGTGAAAATACATAATATTAACATACATACAATTAATGTGTTTTCGAGTCTTTTAACTTATCCTTCTAATATTGTCAATGCAAAAAAATCTCAGTTTTCACCGGTGGTGACTTTGCCCGGGCAACGCCGAATGGGACAGCTATTATTTTATATATGATAACATTTATAAATCGTATTTTAATATTATTATATTTTTATACATATACGAGTTTGTACTTCTTTTTTTCTTTCGTGAAATATGGAGTAGGTACAAACTTTGTGAACAATATGAAACTTAATAAACAGTGAACGACATTTCTATCATTCGACGTTTATAAACGATAAGCATTAGTTTGTATTAAATTTTCAAAAAAAAAATCATCTGTGTTTCTTGTTTGCTCACTGTCGTCTGCGCCACGCGAAGTTGTAAAAAGTTTTGACGAACATTATTCTGGCAAACTCGCGTCTTTCGGGTCGGGCCATTACCAGAATTCGCAAGTTATTTACAATGTTTACGAAATTAAGTTTTTTTTTTCCCCAGACTGTTATTCTTATACACGTCACGTGAAAGTTACATGCAGTTCTCTCTCTTAGACATGACGTGATTTGATATACCATGTTTTGTAAATCTGTAAAAACTTTAAAGACGATTATTAATCATTTTTTTTTCTCTCATTTTTACAGGAGAATGCGACGAAGCTCTGGGTATGGAATCCGGTGCCATCCCGGATTCGGCGTTGACGGCTAGCTCGTCGTACAACGTGCCAAATGTCGGACCCAGCAACGGGAGGTAGGAACAATGCATAATAACAATATTCATATATATATTATAATATTTACTATGTACTGACAATTACCAAAATAATCAGACTATAAGCCCTGTTCGCGCGTACATCCGAAACAACGAGATGGTAACACACGTTATTTATGACTAAAACGTCTAAAACCATTAATTTTACAGCGCAGTTATTTACAAAAAAAAAAAAAAAAAGAAAAAATGTGTACACACGTCACGGCGGTAGATAACTTATTTGAACCCATCGCTATATATATATGTATGTACACCGTATGATATATATATATATAGGTCGTCTATATATATATATATGTATGCGAGAGGGTCTATAAACCTAACGATATATATATGTGTGTATGGATGGGAGTTATACTGTGTACAGTATTAGATTGATCACTCCGAGAGTACCTTTGGAACGAGTGATAATAGATACGTATATATTTGTATTCCGAAAACGACATCACGGCAATCCCCACGAAATCGTGTCCTCTTGCGTGAAGAATCTTGTTTTTCTTTTTTATTCTATATATATATTTGTTATCTTCGGTGTTCGAGAAGTCTCTCAGCACCTACACAAACTATTTCCCACGATTTCCTTATTGCCAACCATCGTTTCCCATTATTATACGTACACATACCTAAGATTTGTATGTGTCTGTGTGGGACTATATTCTGTTAATTTATCGATATTGTTCTTTTATACCACCTATATGTTCTATATTTCGTTATTCTCCATAATATCATATTATTATGGTATATTGCAGCCCAGTTAATCATTATTATATTTCATGTCACATTTATTTTTCATAGAATTTTGTATTCCATTAGAATATCAATATAATATGCATTTATTTGTGTATAATAAAATGCAATACGAACTATGACAAATGAATTCAAATGATAAAGTATATATCACCCGATTTTTATAGGAAATTGTCATATTTATGAGATATTTGAAATGTATCATATTGAAATGTCGCAACTGTTAATATTTCTGTCTAACGTCATAAGCAATAAAAAATAATATAACCGTATTATCATTATATAATAATATTATGACATTGATTATGGAATACTAGATTATGCATGTTGTTGTTTGGCCTCAAAAGTTCAAAGAAAACCACGAGGCGCTCTTATAACACAATTCGTAAATATTTTCCATCACATAATTCATTAAACTTTAAGTAGATTCGTGGTTTGCAATAACGTGTTTGATTTATGTTTACAAAATAAAAAGTCGAGACAACTATATTGGTTTATCAGGTTAAAAATAAAATATGACTTGAATACTACAGTACTTATCGTGAAAAAAACATTATATATAAAGTAAAAATGGCCAAGTTGACGCTCAGTTTTTATAAATACCATGCCGTCGGTTAATTTATTATTGTGCTGTGTGTACCTACTCCAAGGCCGAACAAGACGTTTTTTTTTTTACTTTTGAAAATTTAGTTTGGCGTGCTGTGTAACAAATATTCGATCGCTTCTGTTGGAATGTGTTATGATTTTATTATGAAGGATTTTCGATTATTTTTTCACTCTAAGTATACGTTTACGAGTTGTAATAAGATTAGGTAACATTTTCTAAGTGATCTCAATAATATAATATGACTAGCTGATCCCGTGCACTTCGTTGCCCATTAAAAATACCAACTCTATATGAATAAAATGTTTTATTTTATAATATAACGGTTACCATAACAGCAATTTTAAACCAATTATTATTATAATTATAGCTTTGAAACCCGCGGTTACCATATATAAACAAAAATCTCAAAATCCCTGTTTGAGCACGTCCCGGTGTTGGTCCTCTCCCCTTTTAAATTAGCCTATCTTCTGCCCAGAGATCCAACATGTCTATATGTATAAAAATATTTGATCCCGAGCACTACGTTGCCCATTAAAATTGACAACTCTATATGAATAATATGTTTTACATAAAACAATATAAAAGGTTGCCATGGTAATGTGGACACACACGGACTATATATATAAAATATCTGATCCCATGCACTTCGTTGTCCATTAAAGACCTATAATTATGATTATAATAGCTACAACACTCATGGTAACCATGGTACCTTTGGTAACCATGGTAACATTGGTAACCATGGTAACTATGGATCATGGTAACCTTAATAACCATTAAACCTTAGTAACCTTAGTAACCATGGCAACCTTGGTAACCATGGTAACATTGGTAACCATGAAACCTTAGTAACCTTAGTAACCATGGCAACCTTGGTAACCATGGTAACATGGACACACAGACACACACACTGACATACATTCATTTTTATATATATAGATAGATTGATATGAAATCTTGGTAACCTTAGTAACCATGGCAACCTTGGTAACCATGGTAACATGGACACACAGACACACAGACATACATTCATTTTTATATATATAGATAGTGTGAGGCGTAAAAGTTCCTAATAAAACAATGTCTATAAATACATTATATACCGTAGATACCTATAAAGTACGGATAAGTAGAAAATAATACATTTAAAATAAATAAATTCGAACGTATTTTTGAAAACTGTAATGGCAAATAATATCATAGGTCTGCAAAATTCTACTGTATACAATGTGTGTCATAAAGGATAGATTTGTATACATATAGTGTGAACATTTTTTATAGTTAACTTTACAGTGGGCAAAGTATATTATAATACTTGTTGTATGATTTATTTTAACAAATTTGGCATATTTTAGTGCATATAACAGGAGTGGCAAATTATTTTGATGCTACGTGCCAAAAATTACCTTTTTTTGCTTTTTTTTTTTTCAAGCGTGCCATTAAATTATGAAAAAGGGTAAATACATAGATACTGAGGTACACAGTATGAGCATACGACTATAACGATTATTCAATTGTATTATTGTATTGTATTAATATAATATAAATATTTTAATTTTTAGCGTACCCTCAACATTTTTTTGAGTCCCATCTTGGGCACGAGTGCCATGGATTTGCCATCCTTGGCATGTATAATATGATTTTGTCATCAGATCTGGGATTTTCTTTTTGGCAATACAAATATTTTTGATCACATTTTGACATCCTCAAAATCCTTTCTCAGTGTACCAATACATGTGGGTACTCAGATACTGTCAAAATGTCAAGTCCCTAGTTACAGTTTAGGCTCTACGTTGATCAGTCAGTCAGAACACGTTCGATTATATGTGTACTATATATTATCATACTAATATATAAAGTAGTAGGTAAGTGGTATTTAGTTTATCGCCACTAAACGGGAAACTATTCAACTGATTTCCCTGAATTTTTGCACAGGTATTCTTGATAATCACCTGAAGGTTTTCTGGTTTTCGTACCAATTTTAGATGATTTTAGTTGATTTACCTTGGTAACACGGCTCAATAAATTATTTCGTTATTTTGTTGGCAGGTGTCAAATTTAGTCGGGCTGTAATCTTAATAATATAAACAAAGAAACACTGTGATTTGGGTCGTTTCTTGTTGTACCTATCTATTAACTATTTACTAACTTTTTTGAGAACGACTGGTATATAATATATAATATTAGGTTTGGATGATATGGGGGGAATTATGGACATTTTAGTGAGGAATTAATATTACTAACAAAAAGTAATGTGTGTGTGTGTGTGTGTGTGTGTGTGTGTATGTGATTTACAGCCAATAATAAAAACTACAAAAAGGTACCTACCGAGGATGTGCACCTGGAGGCCAAACTTTTTAGAACCGTATTTGGCCAAAACCGCACAAGTGTCTGTGTTAGAAATATGTAAAGTTTACATTTAATGGATAGCTTAAGAATATGGGTAAGTCCACTGGCATTTAATTTGTCAACGCCGTGCTGGATCAGTCAGTAATGATATAATATATTATGATATACCATATACATTATATAATAGCTGCAGGCATACTATCAGCAGTATATAATATTCGTATTTAGTGCTCATCGACGCGATAGCTCTTCTCATGAGCCATATATATGGCGAATCGGCCACTTCACACCACTCATCATCGTCGGGGTACCCATGGAAATATAATATAATCCGCTTGGTACCTATATGTGTATAATATGTTCGTTTTATCTAATTGATCCTGAAACCTCGCGAGCCACACAGCTCGGTTGATCGCCGAATGCAATTATTTGCACTTGCGCGTAAACTGCACATATTATTAATATATATGATTCACATGATACCATATTATGCTTACGTTTGATTATTATACAAACCGAAGCCGTTCGACAGCTTAGCTTTTAGCACCGGACTATACGATAGTGAGAGATGACGGCTGCAAATTGCACTCTACCTGCACCACAATTTTCTGCTGTCACACTGCACACTGGTGCGTTATTGTTGAGAGGGATCCTAATGTTTTAGCTTGGCATTGGGTTTTTAATGCGTATGTATGTGTCGTCGGCATCAAATGTGTGATACGGTAGTAATTTATTTACATATGAATCGCAAATGCTCGTTTATTGGCAGGCGGCCGTCGTTCGAAAACTAAACCCAAGCAAATAAATCTCAACTGCAGTTGGAATAATTTGTATAATAGATTGATATTATAATATACCGATTGGCGGTTGACCTAGAGACGAACGATTTAATTCACACTGTTTAGTTTCGTCTGTCCTCGGATCGATCGCTTTTTAAATGTTTCGATATAGCTGAATTATATGGGCCTATACGGTAATAATATAGTGTTCACTGCTACACTGACATCGTACTACGCCCTGCTGGAAATAGCCACTGAAAGGTAAAGTGCATCTTAAGAATCTTTCGATCGGCAATAATTTCGTTTGCGATTTCTACCAATATGGCATTTGCGTTCTGTATATGCGTTTCGTTGGTTACATTTTTACTAAAAAAATCAGACCGTAGTAAGCTGGTAAAATTGTTCCACCATCTTTTTTTTTATTTTTGTCACACACGTTGATATTAAACGTATAATATTTTTTAATACAGTTTGATATTATGCGGTAGGAGTAGGTT